ATGTGTGGTGTGAATATAAGCAAGAATTCGTAGTTTGGAAGTTAGGAGGAGTGCGGGATTACCAAAACTGTTGTCCAGGGGCTGAGGAAGGGTTGTTGAGGTGGTTCGGACATGTAGAGAAAAATGGAGCAAAACAGAATGACTTCAAGAGTGTATCAGTCTGTAGTGGAAGGAAGGCGGGGTAGGGGTCGGCCTAGGAAAGGTTGGAGGGAGGGGGTAAAGGAGGTTTTGTGTGGAGGGCTTGGACTTCCAGCAGGCATGCGTGAGCATGTTTGATAGGAGTAAAATGGAGACAAATGGTTTTTAATACTTGACATGCTGTTGGAGTGTGAGCAAAGTAACATTTATGAAGGGGTTCAGGGAAACCGGCAGGCCGGACTTGAGTCCTGGAGATGGGAAGTACAGTGCCTGCACTCTGAAGGAGGGGTGTTAATGTTGCAGTTTAAAAACTGTAGTGTAAAGCACCCTTCTGGCAAGACAGTGATGGAGTGAATGATGGTGAAAGTTTTTCTTTTTCGGGCCACCCTGCCTTGGTGGGAATCGGCCAGTGTGATAATAATAAAAAAATAGTAAAAAATATTATAATTGTTATTATTATTATTATCGTTATTATTATTATTATATAAATTATTTGTAATTTTTATTCACACAAAAATATAAGATTTACTGTTATTCCTTATTGCAATAATTGTATAAATAATGTCAACCCATTCACGACTGCATATTGGAATGGACAGTGACGTCATTTGTTTACTCTGAAACAGCCAAGCAATGGACCATTTCTCCTAAGTTGAGCTCAATTTCAAGGCACTTTTCGTCATGAAAGCAATCAAAATTATATCTATTTCTGTAATATATCTTCCATTCTATCAAATGAGACCAAAAAAACGAGAATGCAACCATAAAAACCATTTGAAATTACCGCTTAGGGGTAGCTAATTGCTGAGAAGTGAACTCCATTATTTATGCTTAGATTTCTTTCATTATTATTATTATTATTATTATTATTATTATTATTATTATTATTATTATTACATAAATAATTTGTAATTTTTATTCACACAAAAATATAAGATTTACTGTGACGTCATTTGTTTACACTGAAACAGCCAAGCAATGGACCATTTCTCCTAGGTTGAGCTCTGTTTCAAGGTGCTTTTCGTTGTGAAAGCAATCAAAATCATATCTATTCTGTAATGTATCTTCCATTCTATCAAATGAGACCAAAACAACGAGAATACAACCATAAAAACCATTCGAAATTACCACTAAGGGGTGGCTAATTGCTGAGAAGTTAACTCCGCTATTTATGCTTAGATTTCTTTCATTTTTGGTGTATATTAAGAAGCATCTTTCCATCATACATTGCCCAAGTTTCAATAAGATAGTCCAACAAACAACTGAGATACAATTCTCGAGATCAAGAGCTAAAGCCCCTCACCAGTGTCAAGGAACCTGCCTTGAGGTCTGCTCGCTTGTGGAAATTTTGCTCGCGTATGGAAGCAAAAAATCGACCCATCGACTGCTCGTATTTGGAAAAACTCGCACGTGGACACGCTCGCAAGTAGAGGTTCCACCGTATAACAAAAAACGTAGATCAAAGTCTTTTTTACACTTTTTCAAATGTAAAAAATAAAAAAGAAGATCTGTTTTTTTACATTCAAATGTTGAAAAAACGTAGATCTACGTTTGGACAGTTTAAGGGTTAAACAGATGTACCTAGGAAGAGAGGATGTACATATAGATGTACCTAGGAAGAGAGGATGTACATATTGATGTACCTAGGAAGAGAGGATGTACATATTGATGTACCTAGGAAGAGAGGATGTACATATTGATGTACCTAGGAAGAGAGGATGTACATATTGATGTACCTAGGAAGAGAGGATGTACATATTGATGTACCTAGGAAGAGAGGATGTACATATTGATGTACCTAGGAAGAGAGGATGTACATATTGATGTACCTAGGAAGAGAGGATGTACATATTGATGTACCTAGGAAAGAGGATGTACATATTGATGTACCTAGAAGAGAGGATGTACATATTGATGTACCTAGGAAGAGAGGATGTACATATAGATGTACCTAGGAAGAGAGGATGTACATATTGATGTACCAAAGGGAAAGAGATGTACATATGATGTACCTAGGAAGAGAGGATGTACATATTGATGTACCTAGGAAGAGAGGATGTACATATAGATGTACCTAGGAAGAGAGGATGTACATATAGATGTACCTAGGAAGAGAGGATGTACATATAGATGTACCTAGGAAGAGAGGATGTACATATTGATGTACCTAGGAAGAGAGGATGTACATATTGATGTACCTAGGAAGAGAGGATGTACATATTGATGTACCTAGGAAGAGAGGATGTACATATAGATGTACCTAGGAAGAGAGGATGTACATATTGATGTACCTAGGAAGAGAGGATGTACATATAGATGTACCTAGAAGAGAGGATGTACATATTGATGTACCTAGGGAAAAGAGGATGTACATATAGATGTACCTAGGAAGAGAGGATGTACATATAGATGTACCTAGGAAGAGAGGATGTACATATAGATGTACCTAGGAAAGAGAGGATGTACATATTGATGGTACCTAGGAAGAGAGGATGTACATATTGATGTACCTAGGGAAAAGAGGATGTACATATTGATGTACCTAGGAAGAGAGGATGTACATATAGATGTACCTAGGAAGAGAGGATGTACATATAGATGTACCTAGGGAAAAGAGGATGTACATATAGATGTACCTAGGAAGAGAGGATGTACATATTGATGTACCTAGGAAGAGAGGATGTACATATTGATGTACCTAGGAAGAGAGGATGTACATATTGAATGTACCTAGGAAGAGAGGATGTACATATTGATGTACCTAGGAAGAGAGGATGTACATATTGATGTACCTAGGAAGAGATGATGTACATATTGATGTACCTAGGAAGAGATGATGTACATATAGATGTACCTAGGAAGAGAGGATGTACATATAGATGTACCTAGGAAGAGATGATGTACCTAGGAAGAGAGGATGTACATATAGATGTACCTAGGAAGAGAGGATGTACATATAGATGTACCTAGGAAGAGATGATGTACATATAGATGTACCTAGGAAGAGAGGATGTACATATAGATGTACCTAGGAAGAGATGATGTACATATAGATGTACCTAGGAAGAGAGGATGTACATATAGATGTACCTAGGAAGAGAGATGTACATATAGATGTACCTAGGAAGAGAGGATGTACATATTGATGTACCTAGGAAGAGAGGATGTACATATAGATGTACCTAGGAAGAGAGGATGTACATATAGATGTACCTAGGAAGAGAGGATGTACATATAGATGTACCTAGGAAGAGAGGATGTACATATAGATGTACCTAGGAAGAGAGGATGTACATATTGATGTACCTAGGAAGAGAGGATTTACATATTGATGTACCTAGGAAGAGAGGATGTACATATAGATGTACCTAGGAAGAGAGGATGTACATATAGATGTACCTAGGAAGAGAGGATGTACATATAGATGTAACCCAGGAAGAGAGGAGTACATATAGATGTACCTAGGAAGAGAGGATGTACATATTGATGTACCTAGGAAGAGAGGATGTACATATTGATGTACCTAGGAAGAGAGGATGTACATATTGATGTACCTAGGAAGAGAGGATGTACATATTGATGTACCTAGGAAGAGAGGATGTACATATTGATGTACCTAGGAAGAGAGGATGTACATATTGATGTACCTAGGAAGAGAGGATGTACATAAATTTATGTACCTAGGAAGAGAGGATGTACATATTGATGTACCTAGGAAGAGAGGATGTACATATTGATGTACCTAGGAAGAGAGGATGTACATATTGATGTACCTAGGAAGAGAGGATGTACATATTGATGTACCTAGGAAGAGAGGATGTACATATTGATGTACCTAGGAAGAGAGGATGTACATATTGATGTACCTAGGAAGAGAGGATGTACATATTGATGTACCTAGGAAGAGAGGGTGTACATATTGATGTACCTAGGAAGAGAGGATGTACATATTGATGTACCTAGGAAGAGAGGATGTACATATTGATGTACCTAGGAAGAGAGGATGTACATATTGATGTACCTAGAAGAGAGGATGTACATATAGATGTACCTAGGAAGAGAGGATGTACATATGATGTACCTAGGAAGAGAGGATGTACATATTGATGTTTCCTAGGAAGAGAGGATGTACATATTGATGTACCTAGGAAGAGAGGATGTACATATTGATGTACCTAGGAAGAGAGGATGTACATATTGATGTGCCTAGGAAGAGAGGATGTACATATTGATGTACCTAGGAAGAGAGGATGTACATATTGATGTACCTAGGAAGGAGGATGTACATATTGATGTACCTAGGAAGAGAGGATGTACATATAGATGTACCTAGGAAGAGAGGATGTACATATTGATGTACCTAGGAAGAGAGGATGTACATATTGATGTACCTAGGAAGAGAGGATGTACATATTGATGTACCTAGGAAGAGAGGATGTAACATATTGATGTACCTAGGAAGAGAGGATGTACATATTGATGTACCTAGGAAGAGAGGATGTACATATTGATGTACCTAGGAAGAGAGGATGTACATATAGATGTACCTAGGAAGAGAGGATGTACATATTGATGTACCTAGGAAGAGAGGATGTACATATTGATGTACCTAGGAAGAGAGGATGTACATATTGATGTACCTAGGAAGAGAGGATGTACATATTGATGTACCTAGGAAGAGACTATGTACATATTGATAGTGAGATGGAGATAAATGGTATAAAATACTGACACGATGGAAAAATAAACACAAATGCTGTATAAGAGATGTGTTTGTGAGTTGATGAAGTCCAAAACACTGTGTGGATGAAACATAATCAATAAAGGATTGAATTATACTGTATTTGTGTTTGTTTTTCTAGAGTAGTGACATGGAGAGTCAGGTGAGGTGTATTGAAGACATTACTTCAGTCAGAGGAAAAACACCTTGGTCACATAAATGGCTCAGTGGTAGTGTTGGATTTGAGAAGCTGCCTAACTTGGCTCAGTAGGCCTAATGCAGTTTTGGCCATGATACACAAATAACCCGCACATAGAAGAGAGGAGCTTACGACCATGAGTTGGAGTTGCCTAGCATAGGCCAATAGGCCTGTTCCAGTGTTCCTCCATACTATGAACTCTTGGTTGTAAATGGTCTGGTGATACCGACAAACTGTAGAAAAAGTCGCTTGTGTACAGTTGAGGACATTTATTAAGGGAAATGTTTTGCCGTGAGTGACTATCAGTCCTTATACAGAGTAAGTTAAAACATCTTTCTTTCAACACACCGGCCGTATCCCACCGAGGCGGGGTGGCCCAAAAGGAAAAACGAAAGTTTCTCCTTTCAAATTTAGTAATATATACAGGAGAAGGGGTTACTAGCCCCTTGCTCCCGGCATTTTAGTCGCCTCTTACAACATGCATGGCTTATGGAGGAAGAATTCTGTTCCACTTCCCCATGGAGATAAGAGGAAATAAACAAGAACTAGAAAGAAAATAGAAGAAAACCCAGAGGGTTATGTATATATACGCTTGTACATGTATGTGTAGTGTGACCTAAGTGTAAGTAGAAGTAGCAAGACGTACCTGAAATCTTGCATGTTCATGAGACAGAAAAAAGGAAACCAGCAATCCTACCATCATGTAAAACAATTACAGGCTTTCGTTTTACACTCACTTGGCAGGACGGTAGTACCTCCCTGGGCGGTTGCTGTCTACCAACCTACTACCTAGGAAGTTAAAACATATTAATATATAATAGACAATGCATGTGACCTGAAGCAAGAGTGAAGTGAGGCAGGTGGTAGGTCAGATGGCAGAGAATATGTTGGACATATATATAAGTGAGAGCGGATGGATCTCAGCAGGAGCTCTTAAGCATGTACCAGTAGGTCTGTTGTATAGCTTTTCCATGTTCACAGTCTTCATGTCATGGCAGATCCTCGTGTAAATAACACTCTTTTTAGTCAAAAGTTTAGAAACACTAAGCTTCCAGACCTTTGTGGGATAGTGTCAGTTTTGGCAATTAAGGCAGTTTCCATCAGCTTTCACCTCTGCTGGTTGTTTTCACTGATGACTAGTTGTACTTCATTAACCCCTCTAACTGTCCAAACATAGATCTACGTTCGATCGTGAAGCACTCCAAACGTAGATATACATTTTTGTACATTATTTCTTATGGAGAAAATCAAGGTCAGAGCACTACATGTGCAAACATAGATCTACATTTGGACAGTTTAAGGGTTAAACTTCGTTAAATGCCCACATTTATTCCTGTGTTACACAGACATTGTTGTGATCATAATATCTGTATGACACAGATTCTCTAACTTTGTCAGTAACTGCTTTATTATACCAACTCTGATTATATTTTTCCCTTTAGCACTTCACACTAACCTTGCTAACTCTTCCTCTTGTACACTCCTAACACTCATTGGTCTTCGATCTTCACAAATTCCTTCTTTAGTACATCCCACCCTGTAGAGCTATATGACCCATGTGGGTTTAGCCCTTAGTTTTGATTATAATAATCACTAAGGTTTATATGTTGTTACAGGTTAATGTGCCCAGAGATGACACACACAACACTCACTATCCTCACTGATGTCTTAGACCCGGCCAATACTAAACATCTCATTAATAAAGACACTGATTGGTGCGATGACCTCAACCCTGAGCAAGGTGACATGCACAGTAAAGATGAGCAAAGCAATGAAAGTGAAGAGGAAATAGATGAAGAAAATAATCCAGAGAGTGAAATGAAGTCAGATTCAGGTGAGGATGATGAGGAAGATGATGAAAGTGAAGATGAAAGTGGAGACACTTTAAACATTCATGGCCTCAGGCAGAAGATGGTAGCTGTTGCTGGTGATATTGATGTAAGTACTTTTACCATGATATTGAACTAAGTATTTTACCATGTCCTTATTGAGTGACCCAAACAGGGAATCACATTCACTGTTGCTCATTCAATAGCTTTCTTGCCAGAGGTATTCAGATATAATAATCCCAGTGACTTTTTTCAACACAGAAATAACCTGCAATCAGTAGACTGAAACATTAGAGGAAGTTTTGGTCCAATTTGAATCATTAACAAGTCACACACAGAAATGTGAATTGAAGAGATCCAGAATATATACTAGAGGGGCAGGAGATGAGAGTGGTAGAAGAGGAGGGAGTAGTGGTAGTAGTAGCAGTGGAAGTAATGGTGGTGGTGGTAGTAGTATAGTAGTGGAAGTAATGGTGGTGGTAGTAGTATAGTAGTGGAAGTAGTAATGGTGGTGGTAGTAGTATAGTAGTGGAAGTAGTAATTGTGGTGGTAGTAGTAGTGGAAGTAGTAATGGTAGTGCAAGTAGTAATGGTGGTGGTAGTAGTATAGTAGTGGAAGTAGTAATGGTGGTGGTGGTAGTAGTAGCAGTGGAAGTAATGGTGGTGGTGGTAGTAGTAGCAGTGGAAGTAATGGTGGTGGTAGTAGTAGCAGTGGAAGTAATAGTGGTGGTGGTAGTAGTAGCAGTGGAAGTAATAGTGGTGGTGGTAGTAGTAGCAGTGGAAGTAATAGTGGTGGTGTGTAGTAGTAGCAGTGGAAGTAATAGTGGTGGTGGTATTAGTAGCAGTGGAAGTAATAGTGTGGTGGTAGTAGTAGCAGTGGAAGTAATAGTGGTGGTGGTAGTAGTAGCAGTGGAAGTAGTAATGGTGGTTGTAGTAGTATAGTAGTGGAAGTAGTAATGGTGGTGGTAGTAGTATAGTAGTGGAAGTAGTAATGGTGGTTGTAGTAGTATAGTAGTGGAAGTAGTAATGGTGGTGGTAGTAGTATAGTAGTGGAAGTAGTAATGGTGGTGGTAGAAGTGGCAGCAATAATGGTGGTGGAAGTAGTAGCACTAGTAGTATATACCCTGTGCATGTACACTGGGTATATACATAGAGGTTACTCTAATCAGGTCAGGTGCAATTTTAGTGACTGTTGTGTAGTAGATGGGCTCTAAACCCTATTAGCTCAAGTTAATCAAGTTATGCTTCCTCAGGTTGATGTAGATATGGACAGCGTTCCTCAGGAGGAACTTGACAACTTAGACCGACAACTTGGTGCAGTCATGGCAGCATTTCAAAGCAAGCAGAAGGCCAAGAAGAAGGGAGGCCTTCAGAAGCTTCCCAAGGATGAGAAGAACCTCATGCACTTCCAGTCCAAGTATGTTATTACTTGACCTTTCATAGTGGGGGAAGGGTCTTAATGATATCAAGGGCTTCTGATTCATGGAATTAGGGCTACCTTCTTCTTAAATCAAAACTAATTACCTTCCATTACCCAGAAGAGGTGTGATCCATACAGGTTTAGCACTTTCCTTGTGAATGATAATAATAATCGGCATGGAAGACAGATTGTATAAGAATTGTTTCAGTCTCTCACTGAGGTAAGGGGACCTGAAAAAGACATTTTCACCATCACTCAGTGGTCACTGTCTTTCCAGAAGCACACCTTCAAACTACAAATATCCCAACTCCTGCAGAGTGTAGGCACTGTACTTACCACCTCCAGGACTCAAGTCCAAAATGAACACTGTAGGCATTGCAGCTACTAAAACAACCTTCCTCTGTTTGTTAATCACATCCCCAGGCCTCTCCCATATAACAGTTGCCCTCCATTTTGAATCCATCATCACAAAAAATAACCAAGTTTTATCCTGTTTTTTTTGGCTAATTAAATGTAACCAAGAATGATTAGTTGTGGTTTAGGTCATCCCAGTAACTGAAGCAAACCTAGTAAAAAACTCATAAATGAGCCTGGCCCATGGCTGGACTCTGGGAGTAGAAAGACTCTTGGAACTCGACTTACCAAAGGTAGACAGGGAAGCTCCTACTAATCAGAAAAATTGCCAAAATATTTCTGCCACTTTGAGGCTTATTTCAGACTATTTCTGATCTGAGAGCTAACCAGAATCATCTCCATTTCACTAGCATGTCTTCCAGTCTGCCAATTGACACCAAGAAACAGTTATAAAAGCATGAAAACCACCATAGAAATACCCCAAATTTACTAGTTTTACCCAAATATGAGGTCAGAAGTTAGCCCCGTCATTCACTGCATGGGACAAGATTATTTTTGTTCTGAGTACACCTACCACATAGACCCATTTTCTCACATCAAGACCATAATTTACTGCTCCCAGCATATTTGCAGATGCTGTGATCAAGTCGTAGGTCTACACAAGAACCAGTAGCTTCAAAAATGTATATATACGTACTTTGGAGACAGTGAATGGATTAATGTAACTAGCAAACCAAAGCTTTTATAAGAAAACCATTAATGGAATTAATACATATTATTCTTGAGTTTGTGCTCTACTGCAATGCTTTAAAAAGGCTGGATGATGAATTATAATAATGGGTGCTTCACTGTAATTACTGTTGATGTCTTAGGGATGATTAGTAGCTTGAATCATCACTTGGGAATGATTTGTAGCTTGAATCATCACTTGGGAATGATTTGTAGCTTGAATCATCTCTTGGGAATGATTTGTAGCTTGAATCATCTCTTGGGAATGATTTGTAGCTTGAATCATCACTTGGGAATGATTTGTAGCTTGAATCATCTCTTGGGAATGATTTGTAGCTTGAATCATCTCTTGGGAATGATTTGTAGCTTGAATCATCACTTGGGAATGATTTGTAGCTTGAATCATCACTTGGGAATGATTTGTAGCTTGAATCATCACTTGGGAATGATTTGTAGCTTGAATCATCACTTGGGAATGATTTGTAGCTTGAATCATCACTTGGGAATGATTTGTAGCTTGAATCATCACTTGGGAATGATTTGTAGCTTGAATCATCACTTGGGAATGATTTGTAGCTTGAATCATCACTTGGGAATGATTTGTAGCTTGAATCATCACTTGGGAATGATTTGTAGCTTGAATCATCTCTTGGGAATAATTTGTAGCTTGAATCATCTCTTGGGAATGATTTGTAGCTTGAATCATCTCTTGGGAATGATTTGTAGCTTGAATCAACTCTTGGGAATGATTTGTAGCTTTAATCATCACTTGGGAATGATTTATGAACATAACATAAGAACGAAGGAACACTGCAGCAGGCCTACTGGCCCATGCGAGGCAGGTCCAAGTCTCCTACCGGCTTAAGCCAATGCACCCAACCTAGTCAGGTCAGGTCACATTGACTTAAGGGAGGAACACGGCAACCAACCTGGTAGCACAAGCTATCAGGTCCAACTCATACCCACCCACATCCACTCATGTATTTATCCAACCTATTTTTAAAGCTACACAACGTTCTGGCCTCTATAACTGTACTTGGGAGTTTGTTCGTCATCCACAACTCAATTACCAAACCAGTACTTTCCTATATCCTTCCTGAATTTGAATTTTTCCAACTTAAAACCATTGCTGCGAGTCCTGTCTAGGCTAGATATTTTCAGCACACTATTTACATCCCCTTTATTTATTCCTGTCTTCCATTTATACACCTCAATCATATCCCCCCTAATTCTACGTCTTTCTAGAGAGTGCAGATTCAGGGCCCTTAGTCTATCCTCATAGGGAAGGTTTCTGATACATGGGATCAACTTTGTCATCCTCCTTTGTACATTTTCCAGAGCATTTATATCCATTCTGTAATACGGTGACCAAAACTGTGCAGCATAATCTAAATGAGGCCTAACCAAGGATGTATAGAGTTGAAGAACAACCTGAGGACTCCTATTATTTATGCTTCTTGATATGAAGCCAAGGACTCTATTAGCTTTATTGCGAACACTTATGCACTGTTGCCTTGGTTTCAGATTACTGCTAACCAGAACTCCTAAATCTTTTTTGCAATCCATAATATTAAGATCTACATTATTTAGTTTATATGTGGCATGGTTATTGTCCTGTCCAACATTTAGAACTTTGCATTTGTCTATATTAAACTGCATCTGCCACTTCTCCGACCACTGCATCAGTCTATTCAAATCTTCCTGGAGTGCTCTAATGTCCTCGTCAGAATGAATTCGATGGCCTATTTTGGTGTCATCGGCAAACTTGCTGATGTCGCTCTTTATGCCCTCATCTATGTCATTTATGTAGATTGTGAACAGCAGGGGGCCCAACACTGACCCCTGTGGAACACCGCTCGTGACGCTTCCCCACTTTGATTTCTCCCCATTTATGCAAACTCTCTGCTGCCTATTTGTCAACCATGCCTCTATCCAGGAAAAAATTTCTCCTCCTATTCCATGTGCCTTAATTTTCCTCAATAGTCTCTGATGTGGGACCCTGTCAAAAGCCTTACTGAAGTCCATATACACAATATCATATTCATTACCATGATCTACCTCCTCAAATACCTTAGTGAAAAAAGTTAATAAATTCGTAAGGCAGGAACGCCCCTTTGTAAAACCATGCTGAGATTCGTTGATTAATTTATGCTTTTCAAGGTGGCTACGAACTGCCTCTGCAATTATTGATTCCATAAATTTTCCCACTATGGAGGTTAGGCTTATTGGTCTATAGTTCGAAGCTAAGGACCTGTCACCTGCTTTGAAAATAGGTATCACATTTGCCATTTTCCACTTATCTGGCACCATGCCAGTTTGTAGTGATATGTTGAAAAGATTAGCCAAAGGTTTGCTAAGCTCCTCTTTACATTCCTTTAGAACCCTTGCATACAGTTCATCAGGGCCTGGGGATTTGTTAGGTTTTAATTTATCTATTTGCCTAAGGACCATGTCACTTGTGACCCTAATCGTGTACAGTTTATTATCGTCCTGTTCTACATAATTTATCATTTCTGGAATATCGCTGGTATCCTCCTGTGTAAAAACTGAGAGGAAGTATGTGTTAAAAATTCTACACATTTCCTTATCACTGTCAGTGAGCTGACCCGAGGAACTTTTGAGTGGGCCTATCTTGTCCCTGATCTTACTTCTGTATACCTGAAAGAATCCTTTTGGGTTAGTCTTCGATTCTCTTGCAACTTTAACCTCATAATCTCTTTTTGCTTTTCTAATTCCCTTTTTTATTTCTCTCTTTAACTGAATATATCGATTTCTTAATTGCCCCTCTCTTTTGATTTGCCTATATATGCCTCTCTTTTGACCAATCAGATATTTTAATCTATTGTTCATCCATTTAGGATCATTTTTGTTTGATCTGATTTCCCTATTTGGAACATAATTTGACTGAGCAGCTAGAACTATGCCCTGGAAAGCATCATATCGGCAACCATCACCACCTACCTGACCCTTAGTCAGGTCATTCCAGTTTCGCCCACCTAAGTAATTTTTCAGTCCTATGAAATCAGCCAAGCGAAAGTCAGGGACGGAGACTTGATTGCCATTATTAGGGGAATTCCATGATATATTAAAACTGAGTGATTTGTGATCACTTTCTCCAAGCTCATCATTAACCTCAAGATTATTAATTAGTGTTTCCCTACTGGCAAGAACCAAGTCAAAGAGGTTATTTCCCCTAGTTGGCTCTGTCACATACTTTTTTTTGTAACTTGAATCATCACTTGGGAATGATTTGTAGCTTGAATCATCACTTGGGAATGATTTGTAGCTTGAATCATCACTTGGGAATGATTTGTAGCTTGAATCATCACTTGGGAATGATTTGTAGCTTGAATCATCACTTGGGAATGATGACTAGCTTGAATCATCACTTCATGGATATACTTTGTCATAAAAATATATACTTTAAAGGTTCTTTTTATTTTTATTAATATATTTTTCAGAGTGTGCGGCTTGCTAGAAATCTTCTTGAAGGAGTCGCCTGCCATGGGTTTGCTCTTGGGTATAATTAACCCACTCTGCATTGCCCTCTACAATGCAGATAAAGACACACGTAAGCAAGACCTTCAGAATAAACTCAGGTTGGTATTGATAATCATTGATGTTTTGTGCTAAACATTAGGTTAGTGTTAAAGAGAACAGGGTCAAACAGAACAGTGTTATACAGGTCAGTGTTAAACAAGGTGTAGGCACACTGAGATGCACCATGGATTTACATATCATGCTCAGTATATTTGACAATACAAAAAAAAAAATTCATCTTAAAAATAAGTCAGCCTTAATTATTGTTTAAGGAAATACAGTGGACCCCCGCATAACGATGGCATCACATAGCGATTTTTCCGCATACCGATTACTTTTATCGCAAAATTTTTGCCGCGCATACCGATTAAAAACCCGCTTACCGATTTTCGTCCGAGACGCGTCCAATGTGCCCTCAGCCAGCCTCACATGTGCCAGCCGTCCCATTGTTTACCAGCCAGCCTCCGCGGTAACATCCAAGCATACACTCGGAATATTTCGTATTATTACAGTATTTTCGGTGCTGTTTCTGGAAAATAAGTGACCATGGGCCCCAAGAAAGCTTCTAGTGCCAACCCTACACCTCAAAGGGTAAGAATTACTATAGAAATGAAGAAAGAGATAATTGATAAGTATGAAAGTGGAGTGCGTATAGCCGACCTAGTCAAGCTGTACAAGAAACCCCAATCAACCATCGCTACTATTGTGGGCACCAGAAAGACAATCAAGGAAGCTGTTCTTGCCAAAGGTTCAACTGTGTTTTCGAAACAAAGATCGCAAGTGATGGAAGATGTTGAGAGACTCTTATTGGTGTGGATAAATGAAAAACAGATAGCAGGAGATAGCGTCTCTCAAGCGATCATATGTGAAAAGGCTAGGAAGTTGCATGAGGATTTAATTAAAAAAATGCCTGCAACTAGTGATGATGTGAGTGAATTTAAGGCCAGCAAAGGTTGGTTTGAGAGATTTAAGAAGCGTAGTGGCATCCATAGTGTGATAAGGCATGGTGAGGCTGCCAGTTCGGACCACAAAGCGGCTGAAAAATATGTGCAGGAATTCAAGGAGTACATAGAAACTGAAGGACTGAAACCTGAACAAGTGTTTAATTGTGATGAAACAGGCCTGTTCTGGAAGAAAATGCCAAGCAGGACCTACATTACTCAGGAGGAAAAGGCACTCCCAGGACATAAGCCTATGAAAGACAGGCTTACTTTGTTGATGTGTGCCAATGCTACTGGTGATTGCAAAGTGAAGCCTTTATTAGTGTATCACTCTGAAACTCCCAGAGCGTTCAGGCAAAAGAATGTCCTCAAGGATAATTTGTGTGTGCTGTGGAGGGCAAACAGTAAGGCATGGGTCACTAGGGAATTTTTCTATAACTGGTTACACCATGCATTTGCCCCCAATGTGAAAGATTACCTAACTGAAAAGAAATTAGAACTTAAGTGCCTCCTGGTGTTAGACAATGCCCCTGGTCATCCTACAGACGTGGCAGAGCGACTTTATGGGGACATGAGCTTCATTAAGGTGAAGTTTTTGCCTCCTAATACCACTCCTCTCCTGCAGCCCATGGACCAGCAGGTTATTTCCAACTTCAAGAAACTGTACACAAAAGCTCTGTTTGAAAGGTGCTTTGTAATGACCTCAGAAACTCAACTGACTCTAAGAGAGTTTTGGAGAGATCACTTTAATATCCTCAATTGTGTAAACCTTATAGGTAAGGCTTGGGAGGAAGGGACTAAGAGGACCTTGAACTCTGCTTGGAAGAAACTGTGGCCAGAATGTGTAGACAAAAGGGATTTTGAAGGGTTTGAGGCTAACCCTGAGAATCCTGTGCCAGTTGAGGAATCCATTGTGGCATTGGGAAAGTCCTTGGGGTTGGAGGTTAGTGGGGAGGATGTGGAAGAGTTGGTGGAGGAGGACAATGAAGAACTAACCACTGATGAGCTGATAGATCAACTTCAAGAGCAAGAGGCCAGACCTGGGGAAACTGGTTCAGAGGAGGGGACAGAGAAATTGAAGAAGTTGCCTACTACAAAGATAAAGGAAATCTGTGCTAAGTGGCTTGAAGTGCAAACCTTCATGGATGAAAATCACCCTCACACAGCTATTGCAAGCCGTGCTGGTGATTATTACACTGACAATGTTGTGAAACACTTTAGGCAAGTCATAAAGGAACGAGAGGTACAGGCCACTATGGACAGATATCTTGTGCGAAAGAAGTCCAGTGACTCTGAAGCTGGCCCTAGTGGCATTAAAAAAAGAAGGGAAGTAACCCCAGAAAAGGACTTACTACCTCAAGTCCTAATGGAAGGGGATTCCCCTTCTAAACAGTAAGAAGATAATGCTCTCCCCTCCTCCCATCCCATCAATCATCACCAGATCTTCAATAAAAGTAAGTGTCATTTAATTGTGCATGCCTTTTTCAGTTTGTGTGTATTAAAATTAACATTTCATGTGGTAAAAAAAAATTTTTTTCATACTTTTGGGCGTCTTGCACGGATTAATTTTATTTCCATTATTTCTTATGGGGAAAATTCATTCGCATAACGATTATTTCGCATAACGATGAGCCCTCTTGCACGGATTAAAATCGTTAACCGGGGGTCCACTGTACTGAAAATGTTACACAGTCATTTTTAATATATGAATAAATCATGTTGTAAAAAAGTATACAGTGGACCCCTGAGTTTCGGCAGCCTCGACTTTCGCGAAATTCGACCTTCGGTGATTTTTTTTTTTTTTTTTTTTTTTTTTTTTTTTTTTTTTTTTTTTTTTTGGAAAATTTGGCCTCGAGTTTCGTGAAAAAACTCGTGTTTTGGCAATCGTCCGGTACCCGTCCACCCGTCACCACGCACACAAAGCCAGTCTCCCACACCATTCACGCTTAGTGTGCCATTGTTTACCAACACGTGACCATCACCCCGCGGGTTCATACAACACATTTCATAATAATCCATTGTTTTTTGTGCTTGCAACTGCTAAATAAGTCATCATGGACCCAGGGAAAGCTAGTGCAAGCCCTTTGGTAAATAAAGTGAGTGACGGGGATGTGGAAGAGTTGGTGGAGGACCACAGGGAAGAGCTAACCACTGACGAACTGCAAGAGCTTCAACTGGAACAGCATCAGACCACAGCCGAGGAACTTGCTTCAGAGGAGGAGGAAGAGGGAGTGGATGAGGTTTGATTGGTGTCATGGGGTACGGGAGTTATTTCTTGGGTAGCTTTAGGTAGATGTCGTTTTGATAAGGACCTGCCTCGTATGGGCCAGTAGGCCTTCTGCAGTGTTCCTACATTCTTATGTTCTTATGTTCTTCAGTGATTAAGGACATGTGTGGAATGTGGAATGAGTTGCAAAGTTTTGTTGAAAAGTATCACCCTGACCAAGCTGAAACAAGCCGTATCTGCAACATGTACAATGACAGTGTTGTGTCCCACTTCAGGGAAATCTTAAAGAAATGCCAGAAAAATACCTCTCTGGATAGATATTTTGTGTGCCAGGGGTCCAGTGACTCTCAAGTTGTCCCCATTGGCATTAAAAGAAGGGAAGTAACCCCAGATAAGGACTTGCTACCTAAAGTCCTAATGGAAGGAGATTCTCCTTCCAAACAATAGTGTACACCTTCCTCCTATCACTTCCTCCCATCTTCCATCCACCCAGAAGTCTTCAGTAAAGGTAAGTGTAATGTTATTATTATTTGTTTTAAATGCATGTACTTGATTTCTGATTGTTTTCATTATGTAAATCTTTATTTAATTTGAAAAAAAAATATTGTATTTTAATATTTTTGGGTGTCTGGAACGGATTAATTTTATTTACATTATTTCTTATGGGGAAAATGGTTTTAAGTTTCATGAATTTCGACCTTCAGCGGGCTCTCTGGAACAGATTAATCACGAAACTCGGGGGTCCACTGTATAAGTGTTAATAGGAAGTGTTAATGGGAATACAATGTTTATTATGGTAAAGTTCAAAATTGTGATCACTATTTGGATTACACTTAAACTAAGAGTAAAAATACTTATTGAACTTTTTTTATTTTTTTTATTAACACACTGACCGATTCCCACCAAGGCAGGGTGGCTCGAAAAAGAAAAACTTTCACCATCATTCACTCCATCACTGTCTTGCCAGAAGGGTGTTTTACACTACAGTTTTTAAACTGCAACATTAACACCCCTCCTTCAGAGTGCAGGCACTGTACGTCCCATCTCCAGGACTCAAGTCCGGCCTGCCGGTTTCCCTGAATCCCTTCATAAATGTTACTGAACTTGTTATTGAACTTGTATAGTTGAATTAGTAAATTCATAATGAAGTAAGCTTTCTTATTGCATTTTCCATATTGCATTATATTTTAATAAATTAAATAGCACATGAAGAGTCTTTCATAGTGCAGGAGGGCCCCGTTTGTACGGTTCTTAGGTTCCTGACCCCGTGCTATATACAAAAATCACTGGCAAGTGGAAAAAGAGCATTTTTTTTTTTTTTTCAATATAAAATGCATCTATAATGCCTGATAACTTGTTTACACTATCATATATCACCCTTTAGGTGTCCAAACCCCTGATCTGAAAAGTGTCCACAGTGTCCAAGAATTTAAAAAACAAATATTTTTTTCTTATGAAATGGTAGATTCATTTTCTAAAGGTAATAAAATAAAAAGTACAAAATATGATAGAAAACTTAAGAAATTACACTTTCCCAAATAGAGTAGGGCCCCAACTTACATGGCAGGTTAAGTTCCAGGCTATCGCCGGAAAGCAGAACGCCATTTTTTGTCCACTTATAAATGCATATACATGCTAGACAACAAGTTTACCCTAACTTATATTAAGTTAGTAATAGAACTAGACATTAAAAAGCACAATTAAAAGTAAAATACTTACACTACATTCATTACTTACCTTAAAATATTTGTAGTCTTACTAATGTAGGGTGAGAGGTGAGTAGTACTTACTTATAGGAAGTCAGGTGTAGGTAGCCCTGGCTCCCCATCCCAAACTTAATACATATATGATATCTAAAGCAGCCCAGAGAAATAAAATACACATACAGTACACTCATTATTTCTTCTTCTTTCAACATACCAGCCATATCCCACCGAGGCAGGGTGGCCCAAAAGGAAAAACGAAAGTTTCTCCTTTCAAATTTAGTAATATATACAGGAGAAGGGGTTACTAGCCCCTTGCCCCTGGCATTTTACTCGCCTCTTACGACACGCATGGCTTACAGAGGAAGAATTCTGTTCCACTTCCCCATGGAGATAAGAGGAAATAAACAAGAACAAGAACTAGAAAGAAAATAGAAGAAAACCCAGAGGGGTATGTATATATGCTTGTACATGCATGTGTAGTGTGACCTAAGTGTAAGTAGAAGTAGCAAGATGTACCTGAAATCTTGCATGTTTATGAGACAGAAAAAAGACACCAGCAATCCTACCATCATGTAAAACAATTGCAGGCTTTCGTTTTACACTCACTTGGCAGGACGGTAGTACCTCCCTGGGCGGTTGCTGTCTACCAACCTACTACCTAGAACCTTAATATATACAGTGGACCCCACATAGCGATATTAATCCGTGCAAGAGAGCTCATTGTTATGCGAAATTATCGTTATGCGAATGAATTTTCCCCATAAGAAATAATGGAAATCAAATTAATCCGTGCAAGACACCCAAAAGTATGAAAAAAAAATTTTACCACATGAAATATACATTTTCCTACACACAAAGAGAAGGATACATGCACAATAGTAGAGTAGTACATGCACAATATATATTGTGCATGTACTACTCTACTAAATGAAGAATAAATGACACTTACCTTTATTGACGATGCAGCAATGACTGATGAGACACTGTGTCCTGGGAGTGCCTTTTCCTCCTGAGTACTGTAGGTCCTGTTTGGCATTTTCTTCCAGAACAGGCCTTATCACACTGTGTATGCCACTACGATTCTTAAATCTCTCAAATCAACCTTTGCTGGCTTTAAATTCACCAATATGAGCACTAGTTCCAGGCATTTTTTCCCTGTTCACCTGGGTGTTAGTCGACTGGTGTGGGTTGCATCCTGGGAGACAAGATTAAGGACGCAAATGGAAATAAGTTAGACAGTCTTCGATGACACTGACTTTTTTGGGTTATCCTGGGTGGCAAATCCTCTGGGGTTAATTGTTTCTTGGTATTCTCAATAAGCCACACCAACAACGGTGCTACAGCAGCAGCAGCAGCAGCAGCAGCTGACAGTGCTACAGCAGCAGCAGACGATGCTACAGCAGCAGCAGACGGTACTACAGCAGCAGCAGACGGTACTACAGCAGCAGCAGCAGACGGTACTACAGCAGCAGCAGCAGCAGCTGATGGTGGTACAACAGCAGCAGCAGCTGACAGTGCTACAGCAGCAGCAGACGATGCTACAGCAGCAGCAGACGGTACTACAGCAGCAGCAGACGGTACTACAGCAGCAGCAGCAGCAGCAGCTGACGGTGGTACAACAGCAGTAGCAGCTGACAGTGCTACAGCAGCAGCAGACGATGCTACAGCAGCAGCAGACGGTACTACAGCAGCAGCAGACGGTACTACAGCAGCAGCAGACGGTACTACAGCAGCAGCAGCAGCTGACGGTGGTACAACAGCAGCAGCTGACAGTGCTACAGCAGCAGCAGACGATGCTACAGCAGCAGCAGACGATGCTACAGCAGCAGCAGACGGTACTACAGCAGCAGCAGCAGCTGACGGTGGTACAGCAGCAGCAGCAGCTGACGGTGCTACAGCAGCAGTAGCAGCTGACAGTGCAGCAGCAGCAGCAGCAGCTGACGGTGGTACAGCAGCAGCAGCAGCTGTACCACCAATAGTAGTGATGGTTGATTGGGGTTTATTATACAACCTGGCCAGCTCGGAGACACGCACTCCACTTTCATACTTATCAATTATCTTTTTCTTCATCTCTATAGTAATTCTCACCCTTATTGCTGTAGGGTTGGCACTAGAAGCTTTCTTGGGGCCCATGGTCACTTATTTTGCAGATAAAATCACCAAAAACACTGTAATAATACGAAATGTTCCGATTGTATGCTTGGATGTTACCATGGAGGCTGGCTGGTAAACAATGCCACCGGCGGAACATGTGAGCGTGGCTCAGGCCGCACATAGACGCGTCTCAGACGAACAGCATTGAGCGGATTTTTTAGCGGTATGCGAGGCAAAATCTTGGCGATAAAATGTAGCAGTATGCGGATTTAACATTATGTGATGCCAACGGTATGCGGGGGTCCACTGTATGTAGTATTAATGTTGGATGAGAGTTGAGTAGTATTTATTTGTAGGAAGTCAGGTGTAGGTAGCTGGTAGGTGTAGCCCGCCTGGGCTACAGCTGCTGGGTACCTACACTGCGGCCCAGAGTCATATTATTACCATCGACATACCTTGTTCACTAAATTTAATCTTTTCTAACAACTACCTTTAGACGCCATCATAAACGAAGGGAGAAGTAATGAATAATTCATGCCAAGAATTGTAAACAAAAGCGGAGTGTTAAGGGGAGTGACTAGGCCGAACGCAGATTCATACACATTTTCTCTGGTGCTGGACCAGAGAAAATGTAATGTTTTCCCTCTGCCCGACTATCACACTTCCATAGGATGTAAATATAGCATGTTTATATGCTATGTAATGCATTTCTTATATAATTTTGAAGAAAATATCATAGATGTATTAATGAAAATGCCTATACGTATAAACGTAAAGCAAGACATTTAATGTGCCCAAGAGTGATTATTATTACGTACTATTATTATTACTATGGCATTATGACTAGAAGGACACTCTTAGTGATTTTTAATGTGTACCTGCACGCCAGCACAGCGTGTAAGTATATTTAGGTACAGGTACACAAATATTATTATCAGAGCACATATAAAATATGCAATAGCTTTAAAACACTTGAAATTTTGGAAAGTTGCCAGACATAATTGAGAGACGTGCTCACGGAGAATCTAAACAAACCGGGTAGGGCATGCCATACTAGAAAGACAGGTTGCTGTATAGTGAGTTTTAGTCATAATTTGAAATTGCTGTATTAGCAGAATGCTGTAAAGTGGGGCCCTACTGTATTGCTGTATCAGAGATCATTACACATTGGCAATTTTGCCCACTCTGAGTCCTAACTTAGGCCAATTACATTGTTCCAGTCACCCAAATTCTTAGCTATCTCGCTAGTGTGGCTTCCATTTTATCAATTGAACACAAGAATCCCCCAGTCTACTATTTCATCTACCTAATAAAAGTCATCAGAAATTGCTAATTTGGCCAATTTCACACAAATTTCAAAATAAGGTTCAAAATAAACAATGCAGGCATTAATGGCACTAAAATAACATTTCTTCTTTTCATTAGTTATGTTCCCAGGCTTTACACATGAATTCCAATTTGAATTTTTATTCATACTAAAAAATGGAAGATTTATGCATTATTGTGATACTTATATAAATGATGTCAGCGCATTCATGAATGGATGTTAGACTTAACCAGTTGGACGTGTATTGGGCAAGTGACATAATTTTTTTTTTCTGGAATATTGGCAAAAACTGAATATTTCTGTTACTTTGAGCTCAATCTCAGGCTACTTCCAGTCCTGAAACCAATTAAAATCATCTCTATTTCTGTAACATATCTTCCATTCTATCAAATGATACCAAGAAACCAAAAAAAACCATGTGAAAATACACCGCAAAGTCGTTCTTTTAAATAAAAAATGCAGTTGCAGTTTTTTCCCATTATGCACTGTGGGGGGGCAGGATTTTTTTTTTTTTTTATATGGTGCACACTTACCACATAGACCCATTCTCTCATATCTAGACCCAGATTTACTGCTCACTGCTTATCTGAGTGAGCTGAGCTCATCGTGTAATTCAAACCCATAGTATTACGGCACAGATGGGGAAGTGGTTAAGTGCTCAATACAGCTAGGCATAAAATGACAGGTAAAAAAATCAAATAAATACACAAGACACACAATATTTACCTTAAAATATGGTGCTGGTCACCTCTCTTACACAACTGCTGTGTGAAAATGGTGGAAAAATGATAAAAGCACCAAACATAATGAACAATGGCTCAGTTGAAAATCAACAAAAACGTGAAATGCTGAAAGGGGGATGCGTATACATGGGGCTCTCCTTTAGTTGCTATTCAATTTTAGTTGCACTTTTCCAGTTGTATGTATTTGCAAAAAAATCACACTTTCTAGAGAAGGTTGAAAGCTTACTGTAATTATTATTATGAGTGATGTACAATAATGTTTTAAACCTAAAATATTTGAAAATTGCAATGGTCATTACTTTAAGTTCTTTGTACAGGCGCCTCATGTTCCTTGTGGGGAAGATCAAGAAGTGTGACAGCCTTGGTGATGCCACCATTGATGTATTAATGAACACCTTGGACAATTTCTTCACTAATGGATTGGCGTGTAAGTATTATGTTGAGCAGTGCGTTTGATGAAGATGTATGAAATGCCTGGGTTCGTTAATGATACATTTTGACAAAAAGTGGTTCTTTTAATTTAATAGTCAGTATATACTGGAGACTGGAAAAATGGAGAATCAGTTTTAAGGTGATCAGTCCCTCTACCTTGATAAGGGACTGAACACCTGCTATCTCTAGTATTCTCAATATTGGATTGGGAAAAGCCACTGCTTGTCAAAAAGTCTCATCAGTAAAGATACTGAGGTGGTGCACATGTGTCTTATCACAAACTTGTTTTTTATTGTAATCCATTATTCTAATGATGATGCTACGTTAAGTAAATGAAGTTTGATGAAGTTTTTTTAAACTCGCAGTTCACCTTTTATTGATTTTTTAAATAAAATAGAAAGTAGTATTGTACGTATATGCTTGTACTGTCGTATCTGAGTGCCTCGGCAAAGACAATGATTATGTATGAATGAGGTGAAAGTGTTGAATGATGATGAAAGTATTTTCTTTTTGGGGATTTTCTTTCTTTTTGGGTCACCCTGTCTTGGTGGGAGACGACCGACGTGTCAAAAAAAAAATGCATGTGTAGTGTGACCTAAGTGTAAGTAGAAGTAGCAAGACATATCTGAAGCCTTGCATGTTTACGAGACAGAAAAAGACACCAGCAATCCTACCATCATGTAAAACAATTACAGGCATCTGTTTTACACTCACTTGGCAGGACGGTAGTACCTCCCTGAGCAGTTGTTGTCTACCAACCTACTACCTAGGATTATTATTATTATTATTATAATATATGACTGGCCATAAGACAGGGAGGGGGGGACCTTGCTTTCTCCCAGATAATCATATTTTTGCATAGCCCAGGCTATGCAAAAGTTAAATTGAATTAAATTAATTTATTTTGCATCAACAGTCAACACATAGAGGGGCTTTATCATACAGGAGGTTTATCAAATTTGATGAAGCTCCTGGAGAGTGAAATGCTTCCACTGTAAAATGTCACATTAGTTGCATCTGTGTCCTTGTACAAGTATTACAAGCAGTTTGTGTGTTTTTCAGTGTCGGACAGCTCCATAGATGTTGTACTAGAGTGCTACTTAATGCTATATCGCTGTGGCTGCCAACTTCTGCAAGAAGAGAGCCACAAGCCAGACAATCCTCTCATTACCATTTTTTACAACCACCTGGAACATTGCTTTACTAAAAGGTTAGTTTTGTCAACTTTCTTATATTGACCAGGTTAGGGACTGTAAAAATTGTTTACCCTTTCATTATATAAAGTCATTTGCTTGATAACCCTTTCACTGTCTGTCACATAAATCTGTTAACACTAGGGTCCCTCTTGTAGATCTAAGTCATGAGCTCAGCTCACACAGATAAGCTGTGAGTAGTAAATTTTGGCCTAAATATAAGAGAATGGGTATGTGTGGTGAATGTGCCTGGAGTTTTACCTGGAGTTTACCTGGAGAGAGTTCCGGGGGTCAACGCCCCTGCGGCCCGGTCTGTGACCAGGCCTCCTGGTGGATCAGAGCCTGATCAACCAGGCTGTTGCTGCTGGCTGCACGCAAACCAACGTACGAGCCACAGCCCGGCTGGTCAGGAACCGACTTTAGGTGCTTGTCCAGTGCCAGCTTGAAGACTGCCAGGGGTCTGTTGGTAATCCCCCTTATGTATGCTGGGAGGCAGTTGAACAGTCTCGGGGCCCCTGACACTTATTGTATGGTCTCTTAACGTGCTAGTGACACCCCTGCTTTTCATTGGGGGGACGTTGCATCGTCTGCCAAGTCTTTTGCTTTTGTAGTGAGTGATTTTCGTGTGCAAGTTCTGTACTAGTCCCTCTAGGATTTTCCAGGTGTATATAATCATGTATCTCTCCCGCCTGCATTCCAGGGAATACAGTTTTAGGAACGTCAAGCGCTCCCAGTAATTGAGGTGTTTTATCTCCGTTATGCGTGCCGTGAAGGTTCTCGGTACATTTTCTAGGTCAGCAATTTCACCTGCCTTGAAAGGTGCTGTTAGTGTGCAGCAATATTCCAGCCTAGATAGAACAAGTGACCTGAAGAGTGTCATCATGGGCTTGGCCTCCCTAGTTTTGAAGGTTCTCATTATCCATCCTGTCATTTTTCTAGCAGATGCGATTGATACAATGTTATGGTCCTTGAAGGTGAGATCCTCCAACATGATCACTCCCAGGTCTTTGACGTTGGTGTTTCGCTCTATTTTGTGGCCAGAATTTGTTTTGTACTCTGATGAAGATTTAATTTCCTCGTGTTTACCATATCTGAGTAATTGAAATTTCTCATCGTTGAACTTCATATTGTTTTCTGCAGCCCACTGAAAGATTCGGTTGATGTCCGCCTGGAGCCTTGCAGTGTCTGCAATGGAAGGCACTGTCATGCAGATTCGGGTGTCATCTACAAAGGAAGACACGGTGCTGTGGCTGACATCCTTGTCTATGTCGGATATGAGGATGAGGAACAAGATGGGAGCGAGTACTGTGCCTTGTGGAACAGAGCTTTTCACCGTAGCTGCCTCGGACTTTACTCTGTTGACGACTACTCTCTGTGTTCTGTTAGTGAGGAAATTATAGATCCATCGACCGACTTTTCCTGTTATTCCTTTAGCACGCATTTTATGCGCTATTACGCCATGGTCACACTTGTCGAAGGCTTTTGCAAAGTCTGTATATATTACATCTGCATTCTTTTTATCTTCTAGTGCATTTAGGACCTTGTCGTAGTGATCCAATAGTTGAGACATACAGGAGCGACCTGTTCTAAACCCATGTTGCCCTGGGTTGTGTAACTGATGGGTTTCTAGATGGGTGGTGATCTTGCTTCTTAGGACCTTTTCAAAGATTTTTATGATATGGGATGTTAGTGCTATCAGTCTGTATTTCTTTGCTGTTGCTTTACTGCCCTTTTTGTGGAGTGGGGCTATGCCTGTTGTTTTTAGTAACTGTGGGACGACCCCCGTGTCCATGCTCCCTCTCCATAGGATGGAAAAGGCTCGTGATATGGGCTTCTTGCAGTTCTTGATGAACACAGAGTTCCATGAGTCTGGCCCTGGGGCAGTGTGCATGGGTTGTCATTTATCGCCTGTTCGAAGTCATTTGGCATCAGGATAACATCGGATAGGCTTGTGTTAACCAAATTTTGTGGCTCTCTCATAAAAAGTTCATTTTGATCTTCGACTCTCAGTCTGGTTAGCGGCTTGCTAAAAACTGAGTCATATTGGGACTTGAGTAGCTCACTCATTTCCTTGCTGTCATCTGTGTAGGACCCATCTTGTTTAAGTAGGGGCCCAATACTGGACGTTGTTCTCGACTTTGATTTGGCATAGGAGAAGAAATACTTTGGGTTTCTTTCGATTTCATTTATGGCTTTTAGTTCTTCTCGCGATTCCTGACTCCTATAAGATTCCTTTAGCTTGAGTTCGATGCTTGCTATTTCTCTGACCAGTGTCTCCCTACGCATTTCAGATATATTGACCTCTTTTAGCCGCTATGTTATTCTTTTCCATCACCTGTAAAGGGAGCGCCTGTCTCTTTCTATTTTACATCTACTCCTCCTTTTTCTTAGAGGAATAAGCCTTGTGCATACATCGAGTGCCACCGAGTTAATATGTTCTAGGCATAAGTTGGGGTCTGTGTTGCTTAGTATATCTTCCCAGCTTATATCGGTTAGGACTTGGTTTACCTGGTCCCACTTTATGTTTTTGTTATTGAAGTTGAATTTGGTGAATGCTCCCTCATGACTAGTCTCATTATGTCGGTCTGGGGCTCCACGCATATATGTCTGAACCTCAATTATGTTGTGATCTGAGTATATATTGTTTTTGATATGGTGACATTTCTTATCAGATCATCATTGTTAGTGAAGATGAGGTCTAGTGTATTCTCCAGTCTAGTAGGCTCTATTATTTGCTGGTTTAAATTGAATTTTGTGCAGAGATTTAAAAGCTCGTGTGAGTGTGAGTTTTCATCAGAGCTGCCTCCTGGTGTTATTACTGCAACAATATTATTTGCTATGTTCCTCCATTTTAGGTGCCTTAAGTTGAAATCCCCCAGGAGCAAGATGTTGGGTGCAGGAGCTGGAAGATTTTCCAGACAGTGGAAAAAAGTGCAAAAAAGAAAGTCCTACCCCATGTGGTGCATGAAGGGAAAAGCAAAACTGACGTTGTGTTTGGTTGAAAATAATGAATTTGAGGTGTTGTCTGGGATGGTATTTATGATTTTATTGACTGTTTCTTGGTATCATTTGATATAGTGGAAGATATACTCCTGTAATGGAGATTATTTTGTTTGGTTCTAGGACTGGAAGTAACTTGAAATTGACCTCAAAGTAGTGGAAATATTAAATTTTTCTGATTTTCCTGAGGACAGGTAAGGCTTTTCCCATGTGGTAAGGACAGCATCACCAGCAACAGCTTAATTTAATTCTTCTCTGTCTCAACATTTGGAAGCGGAGTGTGTTGTGCGAGAGAGACATTGTAAGTGGATGGAGACACTGACACCTTAACTCTTGTTACAAGACACAAGAATAATAATGGTCATACCCTTGCTCATTTATTGTTGAGACATTCCACATGCCTTGTTAAGAAAGGCTGTCATCATATTTTCTTTTTTATGATCTAACAAGACTTGATACATGACTGGGTAACTGTAGTGAGCGACTAAAAACTGACTGGTAACCACAGTTCACAGTTCTCTACTTCATTATATAGTGTCATTTTAAGAACATAAGTAAGAAGGAACACTGCAACAGGCCTACTGGCCCATGCAGAGCAGGTCCATGTCCCCCTAATTGGCCTAATGACCTCCCCCCCTCCAGATTAGCCCAATGACCCACCCAGTCTGGTCACCTCTACTCAAGGAAGGAGCATGGCACCAGACCCAGCAGCACAAGCTAGTCAGGTCCAACTCACACCCATCCACACCCACTCATATATTTATCTAACCTATTTTTAAAACTCTGATCAGAGCTCAGAGAATCTCCATTCCTTAAAAGAGTAAGGTTTGACCTTTTATTTGGTTGCCTAAGAAGAGTATAAGTGGCTAGACTGTATCCTCCAGTCACTTGTTATTAATAAATTGTTTTATAATTATTGTTATAATGAGGGTGAATGACTAGACCTGCAGGGTAATGCATGTGTAATGATGTGTAACTTTTTTTCAGCACTGGCTCAATGAAGTGCTATGCATTCCACGAACCATGTTGTTATAATCTTGGAGGCTTGTGGAGCATTGTTGCACTCATGACCAAGTTTGCCTTTGACCCGGAGGTCAGGGTGTTCCGACGTATTGACGCAATGCAGGTCCTACATAAGTTGTATAAGAACAGATCTCTTGTGGCACAAGTGAACATCAGCGATACTGTCACCATCGAAAGAGAACTCTCAAATAAAATAATATATGTGAGTCTTACATTATTAACATTTTAAAGTTCAGTGTAGAAATAGTGGGAGAATTTGGATGTGCTTTTAGTGCATCATAGTAACCTTTTCTAATGCCTTTTTTACTCCTGTGATGTTTCCATAACTTTCAAAGTTTCTTGTATGAATTTTTGAAAGTCATTATTTCTACTTATGATGGATTGGGACCCACCCTGTCTGAAGTTTGGAACTACATTGTTTAACATCTCAACTTCTTGCTTTCCTCAGGAAGGAGTTAGAGCTGTCTGATAGCTTACTTGAGGATGATGATGAGTTCCATTGTTGGTTAGAGGTATTGTCAACAATTTCAAGTGCCATGATTGTACTCTAGAACCTTACAGATGTAGGCTCCTAAGAGGACCTTGCAATGCTGAAGTGTTAATGACTCCCATGCTATACAACACTGATAATGCACTCGACTCCTGATAATAGCCTTTGTAAACAACATCTTGTCTAATTACAGTAAACTCAATATGAGGGATTAATGGGGGACTGTGCAAGTGTCCACTAAATAAGAATAATGATATTTTTTAACAATAAAATGCACTACACTTGCTGTACACCTAATATGATAGTGTATACACAGTTACAGAAATACTACAATAAAGTTTGAAAATAAAGGAGTTACAGGTACAATTTATCCAGTGGATTTTACCCATTACTGTATTTTTACCACATCAGCCACTTCCAACCAAGTAAAAATTACCCAAAGAAAAAAACATTGTAACCATCAGTAGTGCAGCCATGGTGGTGGTGGTGGTGGTGGGGGGGGGGTTATGGGGCTAAAGTATGATAAACTTAAATAAAGCCATAAATTGGCTGATTATTTTTTCAGTTTACATTCTGTTTAAAATTCTCTATAATCCTGTAAAATAATATTTAGATTATTTAAAACAACCTCAGTTTGATCAAATTAGCAATTTTTTTTTTTTTTAATTATTTGCAAATTTTTATTGTAGTACATTGACCAGCATCCACAAAGTGCAGTACTACAAGAAATTTCTCAAACTGAAAATCATAGGTTGTGAAAGAGTTCTTTGATTTTTTGAACTTGTGATCTTTAGTCCCTTTCCCAGTGATTGTGATCCTAGCTTCAGCCCCCTGCCTCCCCCTAATTGACATTTTCACTTAAGGGAGGAATTTCCAATTTTGGCCAACTCTTTTATTTTTCAACCAATTTTTTTTATTTTTGGTGTACATTTAGAGGTTCATATGTAGAAGAATGTGACAAAGTTTCAGTATGATTGGCCAACAAACAACAGAGAAAAAAATATTTAATGACTTTTCATATATGGCAGCAAGGTATGACAAAATGGCACTTCGAGTGGCACTTCCGACAATCCCAACCGTTAGAATACATCTGACACTAATTTTGGCGGGACATGTTTTATCTAATATGTCTTATTATCATGGAAAAAAAAAATACTTTTGATAGACTTTTTGGCATTCACCAAATATCTGCCTTTTACCTCCCACAAAATCAAAAATATTTGATATATTCCAAAAAAAGAAGCCTCACATTTTCAAACACACTTTGTTTTATATTGTCAGTGAAAATCATTTCAATACAATAATTAATAATGGTGTACATTAGCGAAATATGTGAAAAAGTTACTTCCGAGATATAGGCCTAGAACGCCGGCAGGCCTACCGTCTCAAAAAAAATTTTTTTTGCGCGGAAATCGCGTTTTTTTCGGTGTATTTCTTAGTAAACTGATGTTCTAGTGCAGTTATCCTCTTCAAAATACCGTTTTCTAAACACTCGCATACCAAACAATAGAACAAGGAGACGAGGAGTAACACATTTATATCGAAATATTGCTGGTGGACTCTCGCTATATTATGGCCTATTTTATTCAGTCTAGAGTATATAACATGTTTGTTTGTTATTGATAGTGTTTATTATATCATATTAGATCAATTCTGATAGACAAATAAGCCGTATAGTTGATATATAAGCTGATATAAACGTAATAATGAAGTGATTTCACCTGGCACCATCTGGAGGGGGAGTACTGCCGAGTGTTCTCAGATGGCTCCCGATTGGCTGGCACTCTACTGATAAGCTCCACATACTCTTATATGATGCCAAATAATCAATTATTATATTAGAAAGAATAATGCAAAGAAAAAGCAATAAAAACAAGGAAAAATTTCCAAAAAATACTTGGGTTGAGAACAGACGCGCTACCTACATCGCCGTTACCATACCTGATATAAATGACTATAATTTCTTGTAGAAACGTCTTAGAACATTGATTCTTGTACCATTGTGTTGCCAAAGAGTTAAGCTATTTTTCGGTATATATAAATCAATTTCCATAATTTTTCGATTTTTGGTTGAGAGTTGGCCAAAGTTGGAAATTCCTCCCTTAAGCCCACTCTCCTCCTCTTCCTGATTGAGATTCCAGCTTGACATCCTCTGTTCTAACTACGTAGTTATAAGTTGAGAACCTGGATGCTGCTCATTTTCTGTACACCACACTGAGAAAAGACATTATTTATATAACAGAATCACAATATATTTACATGTATTATTTTACAGATGCTGAGCTTTCTCAAGAAGAGTCCACAGTCAATGTCTGGCCACTACATGACAGCTCTCTACACTCTCCTGGTCGTCATTCATAAAGTAGGTACAGTTTGTGTAGTGCTCTCACCTTTTCTGTTTCCTGCATGTCTCTCATGTGTTTGTGTTTAGGAGACTTATCTTCAAGTGGACAATAATTGTGTAACCTGGGCAGTGGTGTTTAACTTAGTGTGAAGCTTTAGTGGGCCGTCTGTGTTCAGTGTGACATCACTGTTGTGAGTTACTGATATTGTGTGTTCAATGTGACATTATCCTCACTCCTACAAGATGTTATGTCTTCATCTCTAGTGCAGTAAATCACTGCCTCACTTTCTTCATCAGCATAAAAAAAAATAACTCTTCAAAATATTTCCTCCCTCTTCCCAGTGTCATCTTCCCTATCAGTTCATAACTTTTTAGCAATTGTATTTTTGGAACAAAATAGAATGACATGGAAGGCATGTAAATCTGCAGTGGAAGGAAAGTAAGGTAGGGGTCATCCTAGAAAAGGTTGTAGAGAGGGGGTAAAGGAAGTTTTGGGTGCAAGGGGCTTGGACTTACAGCAAGTATGCATGAGTGTGTTAGATTGGAGCATGTGGTTTTTATGACTTGATGTGCTGTTGTGGTGTGAGCAAACTTACATTTGTAAAGGGATTAAGGGTGAAGTTTAGTCTTGGAGGTGGGAAGTACAGTGCCTGCACTCTGGAGGAGGGAAGGACAGTGCCTGCACTCTGGAGGAGGGAAGTACAGTGCTTGCACTCTGGAGGAGGGAAGTACAGTGCCTGCACTCTGGAGGAGGGAAGTACAGTGCCTGCACTCTGGAGGAGGGAAGTAGAGTGCCTGTACTCTGGAGGAGGGGAGTAGAGTGCCTGTACTCTGGAGGAGGGGAGTAGAGTGCCTGTACTCTGGAGGAGGGGAGTACAGTGCCTGCACTCTGGAGGAGGGGAGTACAGTGCCTGCACTCTGGAGGAGGGGAGTACAGTGCCTGCACTCTGGAGGAGGGGAGTACAGTGCCTGCACTCTGGAGGAGGGGAGTACAGTGCCTGCACTCTGGAGGAGGGGAGTACAGTGCCTGCACTCTGGAGGAGGGGAGTACAGTGCCTGCACTCTGGAGGAGGGGAGTACAGTGCCTGCACTCTGGAGGAGGGGAGTTACAGTGCCTGCACTCTGGAGGAGGGGAGTACAGTGCCTGCACTCTGGAGGAGGGGAGTACAGTGCCTGCACTCTGGAGGAGGGGAGTACAGTGCCTGCACTCTGGAGGAGGGGAGTACAGTGCCTGCACTCTGGAGGAGGGGTAAACTTGTTGAAAAAAAAAAAATAGAAAAATAGGTTGGTAGACAGCAACCACCCAGGGAGGTACTACCGTCCTGCCAAGTGAGTGTAAAACGAAAGCCTGTAATTGTTTTACATGATGGTAGGATTGCTGGTGTCTTTTGTCTGTCTCATAAATATGCAAGATTACAGGCATGTCTTGCTACTTCTACTTACACTTAGGTCACACTACACATACATGTACACGTTTATTTATACACACTCATCTGAGTTTTCTTTGATTTTATCTTAATAGTTCTTGGTCTTATTACTTTTCCTTTTATATCCATGGGGAAGTGGAATAAGAATCTTTCCTCCGTAAGCCATGCGTGTTGTAAAAGTCAACTAAAATGCCGGGAACAATGGGCTAGTAACCCCTTTTCCTGTAAAGATTACTAAAAAGAATAAGAAGAAGAAAATTGTCAAAGTGGGAAGTCTGAATGTGCGTGGATGTTGTGCAGATGACAAGATAGAGATGATTGTGGATGTTATGAATGAGAAGAAACTGGATGTCCTGGCTTTAAGTGAAACAAAGCTGAAGGGGGTGGTGAGAGTTTCAATGGAGAGGAATAAATGGGATTAGGTCAGGGGTTTCAAATAGAGTTAGAGCTAAAGAAGGAGTAGCAATAATGTTGAAGGATAAGCTATGGCAGGAAAAGAGGGACTACAAATGTATAAATTCAAGGATTATGTGGAGTAAATAAAGATTGGATGTGAAAAGTGGGTTATAGTAAGCGTGTATGCACCTGGAGAAGAGAGAAGTGTAGAGGAGAGAGAGGAGTTCTGGGAAATGTTGAGTGATGCGTGGGGAGTTTTGAATCAAGTGTGAGAGTAATGGTGGTTGGGATTTCAATGCTAAAGTGGGTAAAAATGTTATGGAGGGAGTAGTAGGTAGTTTTGGGGTGCCAGGGGTAAATGTAAATAGGGAGCCTTTAATTGAGCTATGTGTAGAAAGAAATTTGGTAATAAGTAATACATATTTTATGAAAAGAGGATAAATAAATATACAAGTATGATGTAGCACGTAATGAAAGTAGTTTGTTAGATTATGTATTGGTGGATAAAAGGTTGATGGGTAGGCTCCAGGATGTACATGTTTATAGAGGGGCAACTGATATATCGGATCATTTTTTAGTTGTAGCTACAGTTAGAGTAAGAGGTAGATGGGAAAAGAGGAAGGTGGAAAACAACAAGTAAGAGGGAGGTGAAAGTGTATAAACTAAGGGAGGAGGAAGTTCGGGCGAGATAAAAAGCGAATTTTGGGCAGAAAGGTGGGCTAGTGCAAAGATGAGTAGTGGGGGGGTTGAAGAGGGTTGGAATATTTTTAAAAATGCAGTATTAGAATGTGGGGCAGAATTTTGTGGTTATAGGAGGGTGGGGCAGGAGGAAAGAGGAGTGATTGGTGGAATGATGAAGAAAAAGGGGTGATAAAAGAAAAAAGGTAGCTTACGAGAGTTTTTACAAAGCAGAAGTTTTTATAAGAAGAGCAGAGTATATGGAGAGTAAAAGAAAGGTGAAGAGAGTGGTGAGAGAGTGCAAAAGGAGAGCAGATGAAAGAGTGGAGGGGCACTGTCAAAAAATTTTAAAAAAAATAAGAAAAAATTTTTTGGAGTGATTTAAAACCCAAGTTAAGAAAGCCTAGGAAAGAAAGGATTTGTCATTTTAAAAACAGAGTAGGGGATTTTAGTAGATGGGGAGAGGGAGGTATTAGGTAGATGGCGAGAATATTTTGAGGAACTTTTAAATGTTAAGGAAGAAAGGGAGGCGGTAATTTCATGCACTGGCCAGGGAGGTATACCATCTTTTAGGAGTGAAGAAGAGCAGAATGTAAGTGTGGTGGAGGGGACGTGAGGCATTACGAGAATGAAAGGGGGTAAAGCAGCTGGAACTGATGGGATCATGACAGAAATGTTAAAGCAGGGGGGGATTATAGTGTTGGAGTGGTTGGTACTTTTGTTTAAAAATGTATGAAAGAGGGGAAGGTACCTAGGGATTGGCGGGGAGCATGTATAGTCCCTTTATATAAAGGGAAAGGGGACAAAAGAGATTGTAAAAATTATAGAGGAATAAGTTTACTGAGTATACCAGGAAAAGTATACGGTAGGGTTATAATTGAAAGAATTAGAGTTAAAAACGAATGTAGAATTGCGGACGAGCAAGGAGGCTTCAGAGTGGGTAGGGGATGTGTAGATCAAGTGTTTACATTGAAACACAATGTGAACAGTATTTAGATAAAGGTAGGGGAAGTTTTTATTGCATTTATGGATTTAGAAAAGGCATATGATAGATGGATAGAGGAGCAATGTGGCAGATGTTGCAAGTATATGGAATAGGTGGTAAATTTACTAATGCTGTAAAAGGCTTTTATGAGGATAGTGAGGCTCAGGGTTTGGGTGTGTAGAAGAGAGGGAGAATACTTCCCGGTAAAAGTAGGTCTTAGACAGGGATTTTGTAATGTCACCCTGGTTGTTTAATATATTTATTGATGGGGTTGTAAAAGAAGTAAATGCTAGGTGTTCGGGAGAGGGGTGGGAAATTTAAATTATGGGGAATCAAAATTTAAAATGGGAATTGACACAGTTACTTTTGCTGATGATACTGTGCTTATGGGAGATTCTAAAGAAAAATTACAAAAAGGGTTAGTGGATGAGTTTGAGAATGTGTGTAAAGGTAGAAAGTTGAAAGTCAACATAGAAAAGAGTAAGGTGATGAGGGTATCAAATGATTTAGATAAAGAAAAATTGGATATCAAATTGGGGAGGAGGAGTATGGAAGAAGTGAATGTTTTCAGATACTTGGGAGTTGACGTGTCGGCGGATGGATTTATGAAGGATGAGGTTAATCATAGAATTGATGAGGAAAAAAGGTGAGTGGTGCGTTGAGGTATATGTGGAGTCAAAAAACGTTATCTATGGAGGCAAAGAAGGGAATGTATGAAAGTATAGTAGTACCAACACTCTTATTTGGTGTAAAAGCTTGGGTGGTAAATGAAACAGCGAGGAGGGGTTTGGGAGGCAGGGGAGTGTCCGTTAAGGGAATGTGTGGTGAAAAATATTATGCGAAAATTGGAGTGTGGAAATTGGGAAAAGGTGTGGAGTTAATAAAAGCATTGTCAGGGGGCAAAAGAGGGTTGTTGAGGGGGTTTTGGGTCTTTTAGAGAGAAGGGATAAAAGTAGAATGACATGGAAAGATATAAATCTTAGGGGAGGAAGGGGGTGGGGGTCGTCCTCGAAAGGGTTGGGAAAAGGGGGGTAAAGGGGGTTTTTTGTGGGTTGGGGTTTGGGACTTCCAGCAAGCTTGCTGAGCGTGTTAGATAGGGTAAATGGAGACGAAGATACTTGGGACCTGGATTTTTGGAGTGTGGCAGGGTAATTTTAGTGAAGGGATTCAGGGAAAGGGTTTTTTTCATATAGTCGGACTTGAGCCCTGGAAAGGGGGAATACAATGCTGCCTTTAAGGGGGGGTTTTGGGGTATTGGCGGTTTGGGGTTTGTTGGTATCTCTTCGTATATGCTTCTAAACTGTTGTATTTGAGCCCTCTGCAAAAGCAGGATAATGTGTGAGTGTGGGAAAGTGTTAAAATGATGATGAAAGTATTTTCTTTTTGGGGATTTTTTTCTTTTTTTTTGGGTCCCCCTGCCTCGGTGGGAGCGGCGATTTTTGAAAAAAAAAAAAAAAAAAAATATTTATATATATATATATATATTTTTTAAAATTTATATATATTTTATAATTTTTATATTATATATTTATATATATTTTATTATTATATTTATTTTTATATTTATATAATATATTTTTTTTTTTTTTTTTTTTTTTTTTTTCAAAAGTCGGCCGTCTCCCACCGAGCAGGGTGACCCAAAAAAAAGAAAAAAAAATCCCCAAAAAGAAAATACTTTCATCAATTCAAACTTTCACCCCTCGCACATTATATGTTTTGCAGGGTGTCGAATACAACGTCTAAAAGCATAAACATATAAGATCACAACAATCCCCCCAAAACTGCCAATACCCCAAAAACCCCCCCTTTTAAAAGTGCAGGCATTGATTTCCCTTTTCCAGGACTCAAGTCCGATATTTGAAATAAACCGGTTCCCTGATCCCTTCATAAATTTACCCTGCTCAACTCCAACAGATGTCGGGTCCAAGTCCCATTCGTCTCATTCATCCTATCTAACACGCTCAGCACGTTGCTGGAAGTCCAAGCCCTTTACCCACAAAACCTCCTTTCCCCCCTCTCTCCAACCCTTTCGAGGACGCCCCCCCTCCCCCGCCTTTTTCCCCCATGATTTATATGTTTCCTGTATTCACTGTGATCCATTCTTTTAAAATGACCAAACCACCTAACAACCCCCTTCTGCCCTTGACTAATCTTTTATAACTCCACACCTTCTCCAATTTCCACATCCGAATTTCTGCATAATTTTACACCCAACATTCCCCTTAAACGGGGGACATCTCGCGCTCCAAGTCTCCTCGCTGCGCTTTTACCCCCCAAGTTCCCAACCCTTAGGTGTTGGTACTACTTACTTTTTTTCCCTTTCCCCTTCTTTGCCCCCATAGATAACTTTTTTTGACCCATATACCCAACGCACCACCCCCTTTTTTTCCCCTCTTAATTCTTGATTCCCTCTCCTTCAAAAACCCATCCCCCGACACGTAAACTCCCAAGTATTGAAACTTCCCTTTTCCATACCCCTCCTCCCCAATTTGATATCCAATTTTTCTTTATCAAATCATTTGAACCCTCTCACCTTACTCTTTTCTATGTTCACTTTCAACTTTCTACCTTTAAACATTCCAAATATCCACAAAACCTTTGCAATTTTTCTTTAGATTCTCCCAAAAGAAGTTCATCAGAAAAAAGTAACTGTGTAAATTCCCTTTTTAAATTTGTTTCCCCCCATAATTTAATCCCACCCCTCTCCCAAACCCCCTAGCATTTACTTCCTTACAACCCCATCTATAAATTATTAAAAACCATGGTGAATTAACACCCCTGTCTAAGACCTACTTTTAGGGAATGTCTCCTCTCTTCACACCCCAAACCCTGACCCTCTTCCCTATAAAAACTCTTTTCAGCTTTTAATAATTACCCTTTTCCTATACTTGCAACATCTGCCCATTGCTCCTCTATCACTCTATCATATCCCTTTTTTAAAATCCTAAATGCAAAAAAAAATTCCCTATCTTTATCTAAAACTGTTACATTATGCTTCAATGAAAAACCCCTGTCTTAAAATCCCTTCCCCACTCAAAAACCCTCCTTGCTCCCGCAATCCTACATTTGTTTTTTACCTCTAATTCTTTCAATTATAACCCTACGTACATTTTTCCCTGGTTTATCATTTAAGCTTATTCCTCTATATTTTTACAGTCTTTTTGTCCCTTTCCTTTATTAAAAAGGGGAAATTACTGCTCTCTCCCAAAATCCCTAGGACCTTCCCCTCTTTCATACTTTTTATTAAACAAAAGTCCCAACCACCCCAACTATACCCCCCCCGTTTTTAACATTTCTGTCATGACCCCATCAGTTCCAGCTGTTTCCCCCCTTTCTTTTTTCGTAATGCCTCACGTACCTCCCCACTTACATTCTGGTCTTCCTCACTCCTACAAGATGTTATTCCTCCTTGCCCTATAACACGAAATCAAAAGCTTCCCTATCTTCATCAACATTTAACAATTCCTCAAAATATTCCTTCCATCTTCCCAATTTCCTCTAACTCTCCATTTAAAAAACTCTCCTCTCCTATTTTTAACTGACAAAACCATTTGTTCTCTAGGCTTTCTTAACTTGTTAATCTCACTCCAAAACTTTTTCTTATTTTCAACAAAATTTGTTGATAACATCTACCCACTCTCTCATTTGCTCTTTTTTACATTGCTTCACCACTCTCTTAACTTCTCTCTTTTTCTCCCTATACTCTTCCCTCCTTGCATCACTTCTACTTTGTAAAAACTTCTCATATGCTAACTTTTTCTCCCTTACTACTCTCTTTTCATCATCATTCCACCAATCGCTCCCCTTTTCCCCCCTGCACCCACTTTCCTGTAACCACAAACTTCTGCTGAACACTCTAACACTACATTTTTAAACCTACCCCCTACCTCTTCGACCCCATTGCCTATGCTCTCATTAGCCCATCTATCCTCCAATAGTGTTTATATTTTACCCTAACTGCCTCCTCTTTTAGTTTATAAACCTTCACCTCTCTCTTCCCTGATGCTTCTATTCCCCTTGTATCCCATCTACCTTTTACTCTCAGTATAGCTACAACTAGAAAGTGATCTGATATATCTGTGGCCCCTCTATAAACATTTTACTCCTGAAGTCTACTCAACGGGTTTTTATTACCAATACATAACCCAACAAACTACTGTCATTTCCCCCTACATCATATCGTGTATACTTATTTATCCTCTTTTTCTTAAAATATGTATTACCTATAACAAAACCCCCTTTCTATACAAAGTTCAATCAAAGGGCTTCCATTATCATTTACACCTGGCCCCCCAAACTTACCTACCACACCCTCTCTAAAAGTTTCTCCTACTTTAGATTAAAGTCCCCTACCACTTTACTCTCTCACTTGGTTCAAAGGCCCTATACATTCACTTAACATCTCCCAAAATCTCTTCTTTCCTCTGCAATTCCTCTCTTCTCCAGGTGCATACACGCTTATTATGACCCCTTCTCGCATCCAACCTTTACTTTAATCCACATAATTCTTGAATTTACACATTCATATTCTCTTTTCTCCTTCCATAACTGATCATTTTTAAAATTACTGCTACCCTTCCTTTGCTCTAACTCTCTCAGATACTCCAGATTTAATCCCCTTTATTTCCCCCCACTGAAACTCTCCTACCCCCTTCAGCTTTGTTTCGCTTAGGGCCAGGGGAAACCAACTTCTTTTCATTCATAACATCAGCAATCATCTGTTTCTTGTCATCCGCCTACAATCCACGCACATTTAAGCAACCCAGTTTTATAAAGTTTTTCTTCTTTTCTTTTTTAGTAATTGTATACAGGAGAAGGGGTTACTGCCCATTGCTCCCGGCATATATATATTTTATATATATGCATATATATATATATATATATTATATATATATATTATAATTTTAATATATTATATATATATATATATAAAATATATATATATATATATATATATAATTTTATTTATTTATTTATTTATTTTATTTATTTATTTATTTATTTATTTATTTTTTTTTTTTTTTTTACACTGGCTGTTTCCCACCAAGGTAGGGTGACCTGAAAAAAAAAAAAACATTTTCATCGTCACCCACTCCATCACTGTTTTGACATAGGTGCACCTACACTACAGTTAAAAACTGCAGCATATCAACACCCCTTCTTCAGAGTGCAGGCACTGCACTTCCCACCTCCAGAACTCAAGTCTGGCTAACCGGTGTTTCCCTGAATCCCTTTATAAATATTACTTTGCTTGCACTCCAACAGCACACAAAAACCATTTACCTCCACTTAGTCATTTCTAACATGCTTGCTGGAAGTCTAAGCCCTTTGCACACAAAACCTCCTTTACCCGCTTTCTCTTCCTCCAGCCTTCCCTGCATTGCCTTCCTTCCACTACAGATTTATATGCCCTCCAAGTCATTCTACTTCATTCCATCCTTTCTAAATGTAAAGGTATTATAAAAAATGTATATTCAGTACAGCAATTTATATTGTATGTACTTATTTCAGAACCATTCATTGAGGAATTCAGAGGAAAACTTTGACTGGGAGACTATCAAATCTCTAGTGTCAGATATCCGTCAGCTTATTTCCAAGAAGATTCTTCATTCCTTCAGAGGACCTTACAACAGTCTTCAGCAGGCTCTCAAGTTACCAAAACTGGTTTGGTAAGTATTATGCAACTTATATGTAAGTTAGCTAAGTTTGACCATTTAGTATGGCTCAGTTTGCAAGGTTGGCTTATGTTATACAGGTTCATTTCTCTGTGCCTAAAAAAAAGTATTTTTGCTTACCATGTTCTTACATAATTTTATTTATTTTTTTTTTATGTGGAATTTTGGCAGTTTAAGTGATAAAAATGTTATGGTGTTACTGTTGTGCACACCTCCAGGTGACAGTAATTACAATGTTTATCAGAACAACACTGACTCTTGTATAACAACTGTGTGGTGCACTAACATGCACTTAACCTGTTCTTACTTATGGGTGGATGAACTGTAAGGTAAACTTGGTTGTAAGTTTGGCTATCTCGCTAGACTGTAATCTAGGGGGAAGCACTAGACCCATAAGTCATACAGCATGGGAGGCAATCAGATTCAGTCCAAGTAAGAAGAGAACACATCCACTTCCTTGGCTCAAGAACCCCTCACCTGCATCTAGGCACTTCCCTTGTGAGGTTGGCTGACCCAGGGTGCTACATTATCAGTTCTCTAGTAAAACAACTTTAAGTAGTGCATCAGAAATTGAATAGCATGTAGTAGGAAGGGCACTCTGTGCTCCATTCAGTTCTGGATATATTTTTTCCAACACATTAACAAAAAAAATTGCATTATATAGAGGATTTTTATAAGAGACCTGAGTGAACATATTACTTTGGATGTGATTAAGTACAGTAGTTTGTTTTCTCTCATAGTGACTAAATAATAAGAATTTTTTTAGGCCTTAGACAAGGATGTGTGATGTCGCCATAGTTATTCAATATATTTATAGATGGGGTTGTAAGAGAAGTAAATGCGAGGGTCTTGGCAAGAGGCGTGGAGTTAAAAGATAAAGAATCACACATAAAGTGGGAGTTGTCACAGCTGCTCTTTGCTGATGACACTGTGCTCTTGGGAGATTCTGAAGAGAAGTTGCAGAGATTGGTGGATGAATTTGGTAGGGTATGTAAAAGAAGAAAATTAAAAGTGAATACAGGAAAGAGTAAGGTTATGAGGATAACAAAAAGATTAGGTGATGAAAGATTGTATATCAGATTGGAGGGAGAGGGGGTATGGAGGAGGTGAATGTATTCAGATATTTGGGAGTGGGACGTGTCAGCGGATGGGTCTATGAAAGATCGGTGAATCATGAATTGATGAGGGAAAAGGTGTGAGCAGTTTCACTTAGGAGTTGTGGGGACAAAGAACTTTGTCCTTGGAAGCAAAGAGGGGAATGTATGAGAGTATAGTTTACCAACGCTCTTATATGGGTGTGAAACATGGGTGATGAATGTGGCAGCGAGGAGAAGGCTGGGGCAGTGGAGATGTCATGTCTGAGGGCAATGTGTGGTGTGAATATAATGCAGAGAATTCGTTTGTTTGGAAGTTAGGAGGAGGTGCGGGATTGCCAAAACTGTTGTTTCCAGAGGGTGAGGAAGGGTTGTTGAGGTGGTTCGGACATGTAGAGGGGAATGGAGTGAAACAGAATGACTTCAAGAGTGTATCAGTCTGTAGTGGAAGGAAGGCGGGGTAGGGGTCGGCCTAGGAAAGGTTGGAGGGAGGGGGTAAAGGAGGTTTTGTGTGCGAGGGGGTTGGACTTCCAGCAGGCATGCGTGAGTGTGTTTGATAGGAGTGAATGGAGACAAATGGTTTTTAATACTTGACGTGCTGTTGTAGTGTGAGCAAAGTAACATTTATGAAGGGATTCAGGGAAACTGGCAGGCCGGACTTGAGTCCTGGAGATGGGAAGTACAATGCCTGCACTCTGAAGGACGGGTGTTAATGTTGCAGTTTAAATACTGTAGTGTGAAGCTCTCTTCTGGCAAGACAATGATGGAGTAAATGATGGTGAAAGTTTTTCTTTTTCTGGCCACCCTGCCTTGGTGGGAATTGGCCAGTGTGTCAATAATAAAAATTAAAAATGAAATATTAATATTAATGAAGGGAGACGAATGGTTTTTGTGACCTGACGAGCTGTTTGATTGTGAACGGGGTAATATTTTGTGAAGGGATTCAGGGAAACAGGTTAGCTGGACTGGAGTCCTATAAATGGGAAGTACAATGCCTGCACTTTAACCCTTTGGGGGTTACGGCCGTACTAGTATGGCTTAAGCCCCAGGGTTTTTGACGTACTAGTACGCCTAAATTCTAGCGCCCTCAAATCTAGTGAGAGAAAGCTGGTAGGCCTACATATGAAAGAATGGGTCTATGTGGTCAGTGTGCGTAGTATAAAAAAAATCCTGTAGCACACAGTGTGTAATAAGAAAAAAAACTTTGACTGTTTTTGAAATAAAACAGCGAATTTGCACTGTATTTTCGTATGGTATTTATTGTTGTATTCTAGTTTTTTGGTCTCATTTTATAGAATGGAAGACATATTTCAGAAATTGAGATGATTTTGACTGGTTTTACAATGAAAAGTACCTTGAAATTGAGCTCAAAGTAGCAGAAATGTTCGATTTTTACCAAAGTTCAAAAGTAAACAGATCATGCCAAGCATCCAATACACATCAACTGGTGAGTCTAATATTCTTTCACAAGTGCGCTGATATTATTTATACCATTTCTACACTAATGCAGTAGTCTGCATAACAGTAAATCTTCTATTTTTTGTGAGAATAAAAATTCAAAGTGGAAAGCAAAAGAATGTAAGAGGGGCGTGGGGATGTGACTAATGAACAGAGGAAATGTTATTTTAGTGCCCGGAATGTCTTTCTTGTTTATTCTGGACCCTATTTGGAAATTGGCATCTTTTGAAATTTGTGTGAAATTGGCAAAATTGCTAAATTCTGACCACTGTATTGGATAGTTGATATCGGTAAATGGGTGGTTTCTTGTACTCATTCGATAGAAAAAATGGAGTTCTAGTGAAATACTAGTTATGATTTTAGTCGACTAGTACATTGGAATTGGCCAAAAATAGGGCTCAAAGTGGGCAAAATCACCCATGAGTAAACATCGTCGAGACCGCTAACTTCGCGGGAGCATAATTCTGTAAGTTTTCCATCAAATTTCATACTTTTGGTGTCATTATGATCGGGAAAAGATTGTTCATCTTTTCATAAGAAATTTTTTTTTTTTTTTTTTTTTTTTTTTTTTTTTTTTTTTTTTTTTTTTTGAAATTTTGGCGACCCTGAGAACAAGTCTTTGAGAGGGCCTGGCGACCCCAAAGGGTTAAAGGAGGGGTTTGGAATATTAGCTGTCATATCTGAGTGCCTCTGCAAAGACAGTGATTATGTGTGAGTGATGGTGATTTTGTTGAATGAATGATGAAAGTTTTTTTTCTTTCTTTGTGGGTCACCTTGCCTCGGTGGGAAACGGCTGACATGATAAAAAAATTAATATAGTACTTGTTCTTTTTCAGCAATGTCAATAGTCTTGTCAAAACTAGTGTGACAACCTTGAGAGAGGAAAACAACAGCGATCAAATATCAGCAAAAAATTCTCAAGACACAGAAGACACAACCAACAAACAATCAGAAAATGTACAAAAAAAATTGAAAAAGAGGAAAAAGAAAAAGTATGTAGAAATGGAGGAGACAGAAGACACAACCAACAAACAAGCAAGAAGTGTCAAAGATAAAATAAAAAAGAGAAAGAAGCAAAAGATTGCAGAAATGCCAGACGAAAATACTGTTCCAACCTCAACAGAAGTATCAGATGGTAAAGAATTAAGATGAAAGAAGAAAAGGAATATTTAAGAGTAGAGTAGACCGAGGAAGGTACACAGCAGGCTGCTAGAGCACTCGCCAAACAACCTTTATAAAAACATTGTTGCAGGATAGAGCTTTCTCTGGTGCATGGATTATGTTGAGTGCTCTCACCTTGCTGAAGAAAACAATAAAATTTGTGAATTTATTTAAATATATTATTTCCCTTTAGTTGTTGTTATTACATTCATGGGGGAACACTAAATCCATAGGAGTCATACAGCGCCTGGGAGAATGGTAGGCATTCATACTGAATTCAAGGCACCGGAGTACAGGTTCAGTTCCTTAGGTCAAGAACCCCTCGCCAGAGCTTTAATGCCTTAGATCAAGAGCCCCTTCTCAGGGCTTCAATGCCTTAGATCAAGAGCCCCTCATTAGGGCTTTAACTCTTAAACTGTCCAAACATAGATCTACGTTTGCTCACGTAGCACTCCAAACGTAGATCTACGTTTTTTTTACATAGTTTTTTATTGAGAAAATCAAGGTTGGAGCGCTACGCATGCAAACGTAGATCTACGTTTGGACAGTTTAAGGTTAATTTTAAGGCAACTACAGTTTTTGTAGGAAGATTGTGTATTAATAAAGTAGATGACAACTTTAAACAAAATTAACAGTTATTTACTTAATTCTTGGAGGTCGATTAACTTTTTTTCGATGAGTTGCCTACCATTCGTTCTTCAAGGAGGATGGGTGCCTTGATCCAAGGAACTGGAACTCCCCTGCACTTCATTTGATCAGACTGGATCACTTGCTATTGTCTAGCACTGCTTGACCACTTTACCTTGATGGGTATGTGGGTCATCTTGCCAGCAGCAACAGTCTTGTTGACCAGCCAGGCACCAGACAAGCCTGGCCTAGGGCTGAGTTCATTAAAAAAGAAAATGTAATTGATGAAGGCAGGTATTACCTTACAAGGCAACTCTAATGACATTTGGCTTCCATTTCTACTACTTATTATCATCAATATATTTATGGAGGGAAGCATTAAACCCGTATGGGTGATACGGCTCCTGAGGATGGGAAGATATTCAGGATAGATTCAAGGAATTGATTAATAATAAAGTTAAGTGTTAAACCCAAAGGGATTATAAACAAATCATGGAATAGGAAAACAGGTTCAATTCCTTAGATGAAGAGCCCCTCGCTAGAGCCCCTTACCATCATCAAGGAACCTCCCTGGTGGATGAGGTGTTCATTCTTAATGTGAGCTTGAGCAGCAGCAGCTGCTAACACAGGTGTTGCAGCAGTAACTGCTAACAAGTGT